ACGCACAGGAGTTGAAAGGATTTCTACAGTGTTGCATCATCACAGGGGACACCAGGAAGTGATGTCAGGTAGCTCTAGGCATTGCCAATTCCGCTGATTCCTAGAGCTACCTGGAATAATTTATGAGATTTCCCCAGAAGTGACATTGCGGTGCACATGACACCAATGTTTTTATGTGTCTCCCCCCACAGCTCGGAGCAGGTCAGGACCCTCAGGTGGGCTCTGGAGCCCTGTCTCCTACGTACTGAGCCCATACAGAGCTGCCATTTTTTGTTTCTTTTGCTGCTGTTCAGAAGGCCCTCCTGACAATAAAATGGGGAAAGGAGAGCTATGTACACTGCTCTTAGATGAACTGCGGCATAAAAATGTGGCTGATAGATTTCTGTTGTTAGCTGCCTTGGACCCTTCGGAAATCAATGGGATACAAATGCAAAAAATGTAAGAAATAATTTTTATACAGCATTGGAGGTCTAAATATTTTGAATAAATAATTCTAGATCCAGAAATCGCTTGTATCTTCCTAAAGTTGTTTGCCAGTTTAGGCCCACTAATCTACAGACAACTTTTAATACCTACAATTTTTTCAACCGGTACAGTCCATTTCTCATGTGTGTGGTAATCTTGCAGATTGCTATAGGATGGTGGACTAATGTTATTTTGCTTTCCCCCCCAAACTGATTTAAATCGAAAAAGCCAAGATACAGATTCATGGAGTGGCTGCAATAGATTCCTATCTAGTTAAGCCTAACAAATATTTGTAATCAGTAGGCTAACGGTACGGCAATTAAATGCTTCTGTTAAGTTTTATTAGTTATTGTATGTTCATTAAATCAGAGGTACTTAGTTTCAAAAATCCATTGAGGATTCACTGCTGCATAAAAGATAATGCATCTGTTACATGATGTTGAGGTCCGTTTGTTATTGAATGTATAATAACTATTCTATTAAAAACACATTCCAGGCAACATTCCCAGTGAAAATGTGTTTTGAATAGACAAACACTACGTATTACAATAAAGAGACTCTGTTCTGTAGCTCCCTGTACTTACCATTGGAAGTATAGCCCAAAGGACAAGACAGATGCCTCCCAACAGTCACCAAAGACTTGAAACAAAAAAGTTAGTGGCAATTCCTGGGAGTCAAACCAAGAGATGGGGGAAGGGATGCATCAGAGGTGGGTCTTGGGATGCAGCCAAGCTTGGGTGGTCCCTAGCCTGGAGTGAAGTCAGGGCTTCCTGGCCTCCTGCTATGGCAGCCCCCCTTGCCAACCACTCCAACTGGCAAGGGGAGAATTTTTAAAAAATATATCAATGTTGTGTTTGCTGCAGCATCACGGAAGTGGTGTAGGGTCGCTCTAGGAATCACCAGTGGCAAAACCATAGAATTTCCTGCAATTCCTAAAGCTACCATACGTCACTTCCCAGTTTTCCTCAAAAATGACTTAGCGGGACACAAAACACCACCCGCCCAATGTCTCTGCCCCTGAAGTTCCTGCAGTCTGTGTTGCGTAGAATCTTTTGTTCAGCTTGGGGGGGGGAGGGATCCAAGACAGAGTCTCTTCTCCTCAAGTGAGCGATCGTCTGAAAGGAAAAAAAATACAACCTTTCCTCTTCATGGTACAGAATCAGGCTCGAACCAAAGCAAAACAGGTCTCCTATTCCTGGTGGTTGGTTGGCCTGGTGTGGGAAGTCTAAAAACCACCACCTTTTAATCTAATAAATTATGAATGGACCATTCATTATAGGAGTGGGACAAATTCATTGTGAAGCCAAAGGACTACTTGCAACAATGGTTGCGGTCACACGCGCAAGATAAAGCGGGGGGGGGAGCGAGGCTATTTCCTCTGGAGGAATTTGACCCACAGTTGTGCGATCACACAGTCCCTAGAAGCTGTGGGCACAGCCCGCCACTGTGTGATCAGACACAACTGCGGGTCAGTCGGGGTTTTTTTAAAAAAAATTTCCTGTTTGTTTCTGATGCACTTCAACGAGGAATTGATGAAACGCATCTCTGCACTGAAGGCTCCCTATGGAGTTTGTGATGATGTGCATACTGAGAAGGGGGGAAAAACCAATGGCACGGAGTCGGGATGGTCTGGTCAGACCATCCCGACGCCATGAGAGCATGCTGGAGCAATCAGACAATGGAGAGTCCGCCTGTGGCCCATCGCAACCCGTTTACTACTGGATTTTCCCCAGTGTCTTTTAACTCCGCTTTTGCAGCAGAGCAGGGCAGGTTGCCGATGGCTGCGAGGCGCTTCCCTGATGTTGTTGTCTGATCGCGCCCTTTAAATCCACCCGGCATTTGCACCTGTTGTTGTTCAGTCGCACAGTCGAGTCCGACCCTTCGCTACCCCACGGGCCACATCAAGCCAGCCCCTCCCTGTCTTCCGTCGTGCTCCGGAGTTTGCTTAATTTCATTTGCTTCATTCGCACCTATGTCAGGTCTAGTTGTGCGTGTGATCGCAGCCTCTGCAGAACGACCCTGCAACAGTAAGAAGGGGGAGGGTTCTTCACGAAAAAAGTGTTTTCGAGCACTGGGTTCAGTTTATGACATGTCATAATGACATGTCAAGCTGCCCTGAGGCTGCTGTGGTGGGGAGGACAGGGTATAAATCAAACAAATAAATAAATATGAATTATCTTTGTGGAGAGGACTCATATGGATATTCCGTATTTGGAGAACAGAGAAGTCCCTGGTACCTTTTAAAAAAGCTTTCTTCTCTGCTAACTTAGTATCTTTTTTAAAAAATCCAAAACAAACATTTCTTGCATGGAGAGAAGCAAACGGTTTGTGTTGACACTGATGTGACTTTTGACTATAGCGACAGCCAGGGGTCATTTCCTGCAGGAGCGCACAGGAGCAGAGCTCCGGCAGTAAAGAGCCCAGGGGGCGGGTACATGCAACAAGCCCCACCCCCTGCTCCCAGCAGCCCTCAGTCAGAGCAAGAAGCAGCCAGGTAAATTGCAGAGCTGCCCCCCCCGGGGGCCCCAGTCCAAAACAGTCCAGTGGCACCTTTAAGACCAAGTTTTATTCAGGTACAAGCTCTCCCTTCTCTGCAAGGACAGATCTGTACGTTCCCCTCCCACCCAATAGCTAGCAATCCAAAACAGTCCAGTGGAGCCTGAGTGGTGGGTGTTGCCTTCTGACACACTCCTGGTGATGTCAGGGGGTGTGGCATATGCAAATGAGTTATGCTAATGAGCTCTTGCACCTCTTTTTCTACGAAATGACCCCTGGTGACAGCTAAATATAAACCCAGCACATTGCTATACTGATGACTATGTCTATTTTCTCTGTGAATCAAAGTTATCAGCCCTCAGGTTAATAAACAGAAGTAACCAGTTAGGATGAACTTAGTGACTTCTACCTTGTGATGTTGTTGATGGTTTCCAAGCTGTGGGTTTATTAGGAAGAAGGAACAAGAACTGTTGTTGTCCTTTTTAAAGGTTATTTGGGATCTGCAAGCTTTATACTTAATCCAGTCAAAGAATAGCATTAGTTTTATCCACACTACAGCAGTTTCTCTAGTACCTCATTTGACTTGAGAAGTACACGTGCTCAGAATTGTCTTCTGTGACTCTGCCATTACATTGTGCAAGAGCAAAAACGGTATACAGCAATCTAAGAATCTATATGTTCTTTTCAAAAACAAGCTTCTAATTCTTAAGGTTACAATGATAATTTTGGTAATGTATGTGAGTAACACCCAATGGAATCTTGGGAGCAAAGAATGGAATTTCAGCTATCCCTGAGTAACATAGCAAAGAGAGCCAGTTTGGTGTAGTGGTTAAGAGCGCGGACTCTAACTTGGGAGAACCGGGTTTGATTCCCCACTCCTCCACATGCAGCTGCTGGTGTGACCTTAGGTCATTTATAAGTTCTTTCAGAGCTGTTCTCTCAAGGGCAGTTCTCGAAAGAGCTCTCTCAGCCCCCCCTACCTCACAAGGTATCTGTTGTGGGGAGGGGAAGCAAAAGGAACTGTAGGCTACTCTGAGACTCCTTCATGTAGTGAAGGGCGGGTTATAAATCCAACCTCTTCTCTCTTCTTCTCTTCAAATGATTCAAAATTAGCAAACTTCTAGTGCAATCCATCCTAAGCAAAGGTATGCCCTTCTAAACACATTGAACTCAAGAATAACTCTGTATACAATTGCACTGATAGGAATATTTGCATAATGTATACAGATGGAGGGGAAAATCTGCATTTCTTAGGGTAGAATTGAGTTAGTTTGATGCAGAATTTGTCATTATTATCTGGTTGGCATCAGGAGTTGGCACTGTTAGGCAGCTAGTAGGACACCACTTCACTGGGCTGGGCCCACTACTGACCGATGATTGCCTCTAGGGGCGTGCAAAAATGTTTTGGCTTTTTTTCTGATTCAGGTTTATTGGACCTGAAAAATATTGGTATTCCCGAATATTCCCGAATACCAGTATCGATATTCTCTTTGTATTCGGGGTAAGTATTCGGGAAACCTGAATTTGTTCAGCTCCATTATACCCTATGGGGACTGTCTCCATAGGGCATAATGGGTATTTTCATTCGCCAAGTCGTGCCATAGTGTCAGTATGACTCGGCAAGTGAACTGAAGGCATTTAAAGTTTAAATATGTTTTGAACTCCCCAAGTTGCACTGCCGTGGTGGCAGGACTTGGCAAGTAAACTGTGGTCTCTTTAAATGCCTTCTAGCCATGCCCAAATAAAACCCAAATAATATCAGCTTTCAGTAGCTGAATCAGATTGTCTAATCTGCATTTGGCTGAATAAATGCCCCCAAAATACTGATAAGGCGTACATCAGGTAGAACTGTTATTTTTACCTATATGCACATTAATGCATATTGAATCAATTAGTGAATGTGCCGATCTCCTAAAGTTTCCTGCATTGTGCTTGTGGTCCTACTGCTTTGCATAGGCTATACACAACTCTCAATATTCTCAAGCAAACACCTACATTACACAAAGATGATTTAATTGTTGGTGTGTTTCTTTTTGAAGGAGAGGATTCAGGACAGCCCTTCACCTGCCCCGTCCGTGGAAGAGAGTCAAAGACCCGGGAGTCATGCCTCTTCACATCAGAGCAGTAGCGTTTCCAGTTCTCCGTCCCAACTTGACAACACACCCGATAGAATTGGTTGGTATTCTTCTACTCTCGGCTATTCTCATACCACTGGATTTTGAAAGAACCTGATGGCAAATGGAGAGGTTGTGGGAGAACACGTGCTTTGCATGCGAAAGGTCCTGAGTTCAGTCCCTGACATCTCTAGTTAAAGGCTCTCTGGTGTGAGTAGTGTTGCCAGCTCTGAGTTGGGAAGCACCTGGAGATTTGGGGGGTGGAGCTTAAGTAGAGGTTAGAGGAGGGGAGGAACCCCCTCGGGATACAATCCCCTAGAATCCACCATCCTGAGCAGCCATTTTCTCCAGGGGAACTAATCTCTATTGCCTGAATATCAGTTGTAATTGCAGGAGATCTCCAGGCCCCACCTATACGTTGGCAACCCTAGTTGTGGGGAGAGATTTTTTTCCCTCCTCTTGAGACTCAGAAGTGCCACTGGAAGTAGATAGTACTGAACTATAGAGACCAATGGCCACTAAAAGGCAGGGAAAGTACTAGAAAGGGCAAGTACTTCAGTTAGTAGACCCTGTACTCTGCTGGGTCAGTAAATTCTCTTAGTTCCTGCATTTGCCTGTACATCTTCCAGTTATGTTCTCTAGTTTTTTCCAGTATTCCCTATGATGGATATTGTTGGAATTTTTAAAAGCAAGTTAATGTATTGACTTCAGTTAATGCCTTCCTTAATTCCTTAAATTCATTTATAGCTTTTAGAGCCATCAAGGGATGTATTTTAGGCCAAGGGAATGCAAAATTTGGTGGAACGATACAGATCAGGTCTCTAAGACAGAGTTGTTTAGTTAGCTATGCCTAACTAGAGATAGTTAGATAGGAAAATTCTTGCAGATGTTTTTGGTGGTATTAGGGAGTTTCGTTTTCTTCTTCTTTAGAGGTAGTGCTGTGTTTTTCTTATGCCAGGGGAGACTTAAGTTAATATTGCAACGGTTGTAATATTGGGGGAAATTCCAGGGGAACAGAAGCAGATAAGAAATGACATAGAAAAATAAATACAAATGCAGGCCAGCACAATGAGTACTCATCTTACTTTGCATGGTGGAGATGAGTGAAAAGCCTACTTTTCTAACACATGATTGGCCAGTTCAATTGACCATATAATTACCTGACCAGAATCCTGAGAATCACATTTGAAAAAAATTAATCCTTTGGCCCCTTGAATGTACTCATCTGTTGATAAAGTTTCCAGAAATTTTGGAGCCATGGAAAAATTGGGGGAGGAAGGAGTTGGGGAGGAAGAAAGGTTGAAGGAAATTGAAATATATTCATAACTTTTTCCTTACCGAACGTGAACTTATTTTAGTGGAAGAGACTCTGCTTTGCATGCAGGAGGTCACAGGTTCAATCCTCGGCATCTCCAGTTAAAAGGACCAGGTGAAAGACCTCTGCCTGAGACTCAGGAGTAGGGATGTGCATTCGGTTTTTCTGAACCGAATGCGCCCCCGAAAATGGCCCATTCAGACCCATTTCGGGCTACTGCAGGCCGATTCAGATTCTCTGATCTGAATCGGCTTGCCGGCGAATTTCGGCGGCAATTCGGCCCCGTTATATCCTATGGGCCATTGAAGTCAATGGTGAAAACATAGGGTATATTCTGGGGGTTGGAGGGGAGGGGTTTTGAGGGAGAGGCTCCAAAATTTATTTTTTTTGCACACCCCTACTCAGGAGAGCTGCTGCCGGTCTGAGTAGACAATGCTGCCCTTGATGGACCAAGAGTCTGATTCAGTATAAGGCATCTTCATGTGTTCAAAATGTGCATCATTTATAACTTAGCATATAACATTTTACTATTTGGCATATTTGAGGAATGTAGGGCCCGGTCTGGATGGCCCAGACGATCCTGATCTCATCAGATCTCAGAAGCTAAGCAGGGTCGGCCCTGGTTAGTACTTGGATGGGAGACCCCCACACACACCAAGGACGTCCAGGGTTGCTATGCAGAGGCAAGCAATGGCAAACCGACTTGAGCATCTCTTGCCTTGGAAAACCCTACATAATCACCATAAATCAGCTGTGACTTGATGGCAGAGGCAGGCAATGGCACGCCACCTTGGAACCCTACGGGGTCACCATAGGTTGGTTGTGATTTGACAGCAAAAGGAAAAAGAAAGGGAATTTCGAAGTATAAAGGCCTTAGTTCTCTACAGTCAAACTTGTGAATACAGCCAATACTAAACAGAAAGAGCACTGTACTCTGCTGTACCCTGTACTTCCCTATCTAAGGTTCCCAATCTCCAGGTGGAGCCAGGAGATCTCCCAGAATTGCAGATGATCTCCAGATGAGAGAGATCAACCCCCTTGGAAAAAACGGCTGCGGTGGAGAATGGACTGTATGGCATTATGCCCTCCCCACCCCAGGCCCTAGCATGAAATCTCCAGGAATTTCCCAACCTGGAGTTGGCAAGCCTTACCTTAGCATCTTGCCATTTAAAAGGCAGGAAGAAGCAAAACTTGACAATACAAAACAGTTTGCAGGGCTCTTTTTGTAGCAGGAATTCCTTTGCGTATTAGGCGACACACCCCTAATGTAGCCAATCCTCCAAGAGCTTATAGTAGCCCCTGTAAGAAGAGCTCTGCAACCTCTTGGAGGATTGGCTACATTAGGGGTGTGTCACCTAATATGCAAAGGAGTTCCTGCTACAGTAAATAAAGAAAAGTATATTATTTGGTCAGAGTGTCATATAGTCCCGATAGGACAAGCAGCCTATTTGGATATCGAGCAAAATTTTATGATCTTGCCAACACTGAATTCTTCAGTACTATATTATCATCAAATGTATTATAGCATATTAACTGTAGACAAGATTAGTATTAATATATTTACTAAGATTAAAAGTAAAAGTATCTTTGAAAGTATGTTTTGCATGTCTGCAGTATACACAAGAATTACTTAATACTGTCGTTCGTCTTACATAAAGATCTTCATGTTCAAACCTTTCAGTTGAGCAGTAGCTTGTCATAAAGAGCATTTCACCCATTCCAAAAGAGAAAATATTGCAGTGTTTTTCAGGACTCCCTAAAAATTTCCAGTTTTTGAATTGAAGGCTTTTAAAAGCCGCGCCTTTTCCCCTGCGTGTGGCAGGGGCCTTATTTTCCCAAATTTTTGCTGTTTTTTCAGGCCTTCATATCTCCATGTCGGTGACAAATGGCAGCCAAAACATTTCCCCAGCTGCCTAGAAATGAGTGTTTTAAAAAGTCTGCAATGGCAGGCATTCATCAAAACTTAATGTAAAATATGCGTTGCTCTCTCTTTTTAGATTGGGGTTGGGAATTTTTTGCATTCTCTCTAATCTGTTAAGTGTGGAGAGCGTGATGTTTTAATCAGCAAAAAAAAAAAGTAATAATAAGTAATCCAAAAATCATAAAAGCAGCCACATCTGACTGCTTTTGCAGGTGCTCAGTTAAAGAATTACTATTTCAAAGGCACATATTATTGTCTTTGAACTGTCATCCATCAGTTTGGGCTGTTAACCATCTAGCTGTCTATATTTCTCTATTAACGGAGAAGAATTACAGATAATTACCAATTCTTTAAATCCTCCGGTCTATTAAAAGCATTTCTCATCCAAAATGATTTCAATGAATCACTCTTGTTAATTAGTTAACTTGAACATTTCAGAGGAAATCACTCTCAGCTCACTTTCCATTTTCCTCTCTTCCTGACTTTTGCTGCCTCATACAGGCAAGTGCATTTGCCCTTCCTGCAGGAATTGGTACTTTAGCTCCCAAATATGCTGATCACTTGAGAGCTGTTCATGCGCAGGGTGCATTAACATACAATATGAAGCCACCGTTTTTCTCCAGTTTGGATTTCTTTCAACTTATGAGTGGGGTTGACATTGTGTGGAACAGCAGAAATGGCTATTTAAAAACAGCAACGAGAACAACTTGAATGGTGGTTCCTGGAACTGTGTCTTTGATTGATCTGGTGGATGTGCATTTGTGCCTTCCTGTGAATGGAAGCATTTTTTTTTTAACACAAAAGACGTTGTCTAAGCTGTCCTTCTGAAAATATGGCCGCAAGTTATCTCATACTGTGTAGCGTATGTATGACTTGTTTGCAGTGGACGGAGTTGACCATTCTGATTTCTCTGGCTGTGACATAATATGGCATAGGCAAGCATCAATAGTGCAGCCAGGTATGGAAACCATTTGGTGTAGTGGTTAAGAGCAACGGACTCTGATCTGGAGAACTGGGTTTGATTCCCCACTCCTCCACATGCAGCCAGCTGGGTGACCTTGGGCCTGTCACAGTTCTCTCAGAGCTGTTCTCTCAAGAGCTGTTCTCTCACTCAGCCCCCGCCCCACCTCACGGGGTGTCTGTTGTAGGGAGAGGAAGGGAAGTAGATTGTAAGCTTCTCTGAGACTCCAAGTGAAGGGCAGGGTATACATCCAATCTCCTCCTTCTCTTCTTCTTCTTCTTCTTCTTCTGGAACTCAAGTGGTTGAGTGTCACTTGGCATTACACACCAAGCTCAGTGGGATACAAGACCATCTGAAAGGTGTACATGGTGCAATTTCATAATGCAAACAGGATATTGATATGCTAAAGTGTACCATTATGGATGTCTTTCAAAAGGTCTTATGTCTCATTGGGTTTTTTGTTTAGTCTCCAGTTAAGCTCAGCTTCATGGATTCTGCAACTGTAAAGGGTCATGCCAATGTATTATAGAGGTTGACCACGTGTTGGATGGTTCATAGCAAATTCCAGCCCACATGTTGTTGCATAATGATTATAAAGTGGCCACCAAGAATGAAGTTGTTCATCTTTGATTTGCATTTTGTGGGAAGGGGTTGTTTTTAATTTTGGCAAATGTGTAGTTCAGTGGCACCATGCTCTCTCTCTCTCTGACTTTCCTTCAGCTATGCTGTCGAATACTAGAGAAGGTGAACCTGTGGATCAAGAGTCTGGCCCCAACCCAAGAAAACTCTCCAAGGAAAAAGGTAAATTCCTCCCACACTACTCCAGTGCCAATTGTACAGCATTTACTGTACAATCCGTGGTCATTTTCTTGGCCATGCACCATTGCTGTTTCTTCTGCTTTGTATGCAGGGCCTGAAAATCCACACATTGCCCTTTTCAGAAGAAACTATGATTGCACGTGACCCTATATGTGTGGTCAAATGTCATGACTGAAAAGGGCTAGCCTCTCAACCTTATGTATATGAAACAAAAGAGCAGAGGGAAAGCAGCTGTATGTCCTTGGGCAGGATAAATATGTAATTCAGAAATGAACCCACAATTACTTATATGTTCTGGGCAACTTTATGTTTCTGTATCAATAAGAGATTCCAGCGTGTTTCTTTCTCTCGACGTGATTTTATGGCCCTTTTTTCTTCTCCGGGTGGTGTATCTTTCAGTGTCTCCAAGCCATGCCTCGCTAGAGCAGGGGTCCCCAGTGCCATGGGGCCCGCGAACACATTTCCTAGCAAGTGCCAAGCATTTTTAGACAGTCGGCTTTCGCCAGGTGGGGCTTCTGCCCAACAAGGCTCCTGATTGGCTATTGGAGATCTGATTGGCTGTGCAGAGTTTTAAAATGTTGCTTTGGCAGCCCCTGTCACCACAGCACAAGGAGCGTCACTGGCTGAGTGAAGGGAAGCTGCGGCAGCCATTTTGTGGCTGGCACCACCTCCTGAGGCAGCCATTTTGTGGCTGTGTCCATCACGCTGTGGCCCTTTCTGCCATATCCTCCAAGCCATGTCCTTTCTGCGGTATCCTCCAAGCAATTCTGCCCTAAAATCAAATTCAACCTTTTTATTCCAGGTTTTTCCCTCATTCTGGATTACATTACTTCCCTTCAGTGTTCTTTGGATGCTTTTTTTGCCGTGGACTTAAATTGCCTCGACTCAAACACTGAGAAAATCCGGAGTGGCAGGCAAATGCGGAAAGGACCTATGGCTGCAATCAAACACACTAAACAATCCACTTTCAATCCACTTTCAACACACTTGTGAATTGTATTTTGCCAGTTCACACAGTAAAAATCCAGCTGGAAAGTGGATTGTTTAGTGTGTGTGATCTCAGCCTGTGTCAGGATTCTAAAGGTGTCCACAGACTGAAAAAAGGTCGGGGACCCCCTGCACTAGAGAGTTTGTGGTGTTCACCATGATTCAGCAAAGTAGTTGACAGTTGCCTCTCTGGATGCAACACATTTTTCTGTAACACCCAGTTTTTGCTGAGCTGCCTTAGACCTACACAGGCCCCGGTCACACGGAGGATTTGCACGAATGTCAGGTGGATTTTCGGGGCGTGATCACACCGCAACATCTGGGAAGCGTAGCGCACCCGTGGCCAACCCGTGGCGTCCCGCCGAAGATGTGCAGTAAAAAAGTACCTCGGAAAGTGCACTAGTAGCCGGAAAACGCTGGGCTGGGGCGGGCGTCTGATCGCGGGAGCGCTAGTATCTCGTGGCATCCGGCACCCGTCCATGTCCTGTCGCAAACCAGATGTTTTTCATAAGTGCATGCACACAAACACGTAACTGAAAGCAGTGCTGCTCCGCGGAACTGCACATGTGCACAAATACGAAACGCTTGTCTGATCGCGCCACGCCGCTTCTTTGCCACGCTGCAGCATCACCGTGTGATCACCAGCTAACAGCCTAAGCACGGAGACTCGGGAGACTGTGTGATCGGGCTACCTCGCTTTATTTTGCTCCGGGGCGAACTGCCACGCCTCCCCCCACCCCCGCGTTATTTGGCCCGTGTGACTGGGGCCACAGTATTGTAAAATTATATAAAGCCAGATTCATGCTCCACCATATTACATGTTCATATTAAATAGGGGCGATGTCAATTCAAATGACTATTCATGAGTGTATGATCATGTCTGAGCTGTACCTAATGGGTGGTAAGCTGCCCCAACATTTTTTTGCTTTGTGTATTTTATTTGTCTTAAACGCCGGGCCCCCATTTTAAAATCCTGCCAGTCTGTCCCTACCAAGGCAAGAACAATGCTGTTTATTCTTGCAAAGGTTCTTAAAGTTATTATTAAGGTGGTATGTAGTTAACTCAAAAGTATCAACATTTATTAAGTATGACAAGTCAGCAGTTTACACAAGCATGGCAAACATATGTTTTCACATCTGGTTTGAGTAATATCATCATGATTCAAAAAATGATTTATAGCTCTGCAAGCTATAAAATGCCAGCTTTGCTATAGGTTGGAATTTTTCAGACATTGAGCAAATTATGGAAAGCAGGTCTTTGGGCTGGGGGGGGGGCAGTTGGTGACCTGCACTCTAATGTAATTTCGGCAGCAATCCTGGGCCATTGAATTTAGGGGGGCTGACTTCCAAGTAAACATGTGTAGGACCAGGCTGCATGAAATGTCGACATCCTTTAAGAAAAGGGCGATAAATTACTACCATAAAACACATCTACATTTTATTAAGTCGTGGTATGTCTCTGTTAACGACATTCGTTAACTGCTTGTAGGCTTCTGTCTTCTCTGTATTCATTAGCTGCCAGTATAGCACTGTAGAAGACGGGGACGGCAAAGGATGAGATGGTTAGATAGTGTCATAGATGCAACGAACATGAAATTGAGCAAACTTCAGAGAACGGCGGAAGACAGGAGGGCCTGGCGTGATCTGGTCCATGGGGTCGCAAAGAGTCGGACTTGACTGTGCGACTGAACAACAACAACAAAATAGCTCTGTGTAAGCATGAGATTTTTGCCCTTCCACAGCCATGAGTGGTTCGACATATTACCCGTGTAAAACCCAACCGTTACTTTATTGGTACATCTCAGTGTCAGAAGACTCAGGACTCATGATGTGCTCTTGTTCCATCTGTACACAGAGAGCACAGTGCAAAGGGGAGTCCCTTGCAGAAACACAGGGATGCCTCATAGGTCACATTTTGCTTTATAATGGGGGGGGGGCTCAGAGCTCATTTGCCTTCTGAGGTGTTGGGCCTGAACATTGAAAGCGGTTAACTGTGAGGTGAGTGACCATAGAGCACAGGCTCCCAAGAAGAGATCTTAGCAAAGCATCTCCTGTTAATGACTCTCAGGCAGAAAGATGCCCTGGCCTGGATAGCCCAGGCTAGCCTGATCTCATCAGATCTCGGAAGCTAAGCAGGGTCGACCTTGGCTAGTATTTGGAAGGGCGGCCTCCAAGGAATACCAGGGTTGTGACGCAGAGGCAGACATTGGCAAAACCACCTCTGAAACATCTCTTGCCTTAAAAACAAGTCTAGCTCGCCACCTAGTGGTGCATAACACTAAAGAGCTAGAACTTCTGGCTGCCAGACAATCATAGGATCTCCTGGCTATTCTACACACAATGCCACACGATAATATTATTAATTATTATTTATTAGGCAGAAAGATACCACCCTGAGGCTTAGACACTCGCCAGCGGTTAACAAGAAGCTCTGACTATACTGATTTGGATGAACCACACCTTAAAAAGGATATTATAGCTTTGGAAAAAGTGCAGAAAAGGGCAACTCGAATGATAAAAGGGTTGGAACACTTTCCCTATGAGGAAAGGTTAAGGCGCTTAGGGCTCTTTAGCTTGGAGAAACGACGACTGAGGGGTGACTTGATTGAGGTTTATAAGATTATGCATGGGAACGAGCAGGTAGAGAAAGAGGTACTTTTCTCCCTTTCTCACAATACAAGAACTCGTGGGCACTCCATGAAATTGCTGAGTGGTCAGGTTAGAATGGATAAAAGGAAGTACTTCTTCACCCAAAGAGTGATTAACACATGGAATTCCCTGCCACAGGAAGTGGTGGCGGCTACAAGCATGGACGGCTTCAAAAGGGAATTAGATAAGCATATGGAGCAGAGGTCCATCAGTGGCTATTAGCCACATGGTATAGATAGGGGCTCTGGGGCAAGTGATGCTCTGTCATCTTGGTGTTTGGGGGGGGGGTCAACAGTGGGAGGGCTTCTAATGTCCTGGCCCCACTGGTGGACCTCCTGATGGCACTGGTATTTCTGGCCACTGTGTGACACAGAGTGTTGGACTGGATGGGCCTTTGGCCTGATCCAACATTGGCGTCTCTTATGTTCTTAAGCAGGGCAGGTATCAGCATATCCTGAGTTGGGGCATCGGCCAGGGCTTCCGGCAGGGCCCACTGCCACCAGCCCACACCCACACACCTCCTCTGCCACCTGCTTGCATGCCCTTCCCTCACCCACTTGCTTGCAAACGCTCCATCTCCAGTGCTCCTAGCTACCGGGCCTGCCCAGGATTGCCAGAGTGTACGGGTGGTAATGATCACAGCAGCGGCACTCCCACCTGCCCACCCCTCCCATGGCCTTCGAGGAAAGAGCATACAGGCAGGGGAAGAGTGCGCAGCAGTGTTCCCTCTAAGCTGAGTTAGTGTGAGCTAGCTCACAGTTCTTTAGCCTCCAGCTCACACATTTTTGTCTTAGCTCAGGAAGGAGGGCTCCAGGGCAAACTGATTTATGCAGCAGCCAAATCGCTCGCTCAGAACTCTAATGCCAGTAGCCCACAAAGTAGAATTTTTGCTCACAGGACACCACAGCTTAGAGGGAACATTGGTGCACAGGCAGGTGTGTGTGCATGGCCAACTTATTCATTAGGCACAGTGGCCGAGGGCCCACAGTACTTCTAGGGGCCTACAAAAATGTTTTAGTTTCTTATAAAATCAGAAGGGACAAAACAAACTTTTAGGGTCAAAGAAAACGTTTTTTTCTCACATTAGGGAAGAAATTGAAATGTTTGGGGCCCACAAAAATCTTATTAAATTTTGCCTAAAACAGAAAAAAAAATTGGAGTATTTTAAAGTTATCAAAAATAATTTTTAATATGTATATTATTGTGGTGGCAGGAGCCCACAAAGGCATAAGTACCTTGTGCCCACGAAACTGATTGGTGGCCAGGCGGTGGGGGGGGACCCTTACCCTCCTCCGGGGGGGGGGAGGTCTGGCAACCCTCATACATACTTAGACTGTGTCGGTATAA